CAACCGATCCCACTAAATAATCCACTCCCGTCCGTTTCTACTCCCTCTTATGCTTCATAAGTAACCCCAACCTATTCTCCATTTCATTCCGACCAATCATCCAATTCTCCCGATACTCCCCAAATCTCCCAAGAACTCGATAATTTTATCACCCTACAACAACAGCTAATACACCCTAACACCCTCACTATAAATCAAATTTCATCCACAAAAAAATCCTCAAACCCACCTACTCCTACACCCTCCTCAGCTTATACTGCATCGTTAGCACAATCATCCACATCCACCGAATCATCACATCGCAATCACCGAGCTTATCGCACTTTCCAAAAAAAATTCCCAAACCATCCATTCGCGACCAAACCAGGAACAGCCTGCGAGTATATTAATCATCCACACCACACCAACACGAAAGATTTTCTAGCAATCAACTTACCTTCATTCCCACAATATACTTTAAACACACCTAACGAGACTAACGACACACGTAGTTTTGTAAATGAACATGTTTTAATGCCTACACTTCATTGAAAAACATATTACCATTTTACTAATCCCCTTTGCCTGCCCTTATCTAATACTCATAACGATATAGAAAAAAATAAAGATATGCTGTATCGACTCACCACACCACTAACACATAGACAATTTACTTATATAGGATATAAAAAATCACTAAAAACATTCACTGCACCCCGAGCTAACGAATTTACATTAGAATATTACGACCGTAATATCATCCGAACTAATCAAGACCAATTTTTAGATGACGAACGCTTCGCTAACCCACAACTAACAGAAAAATTCTTCATCAAAACATCATATGTATTCATACTTAATGTTTTTGATAGAAAATATGATCACATCATTTCTGAAGCACTAACTGATATGCAAGCTTACGAAAGTTTTAAAGAAAAATTTCAATTATTTTCACTAACCTTTCACTTCCTTGCACCACATCAACGCGATTTGCACTGTTCACACGACATTATGATACGCACTAAACAGACTCACACATATACATACTATCGCTTCAAACAAAATCATTTTGATCTACACACTCCATCAAAACAACCACACCATCGTTTTCAGTTTCTTAACTCGAATTACACTTCACCATTTTTTCTAAATTTCACCTATTGCATCAAAGATACTAACCTCCACGGCATCCTCCGCAATTATGACCCAGTAACACAAATGTATATATTTTGTCCCATCACGAAGACCTTTAATGCCGAAGAATCCAGACCCTTCCTTATCCCACATGAATTTATCCAACCTATAGAAATCCCTATATTAGAATTTATCCACAATACTAAATACAATCACAAAATATATAATCTCATTCAAAACACACCTTATGAGTTTGCAGTAGGCACCGAAGAACTAAAAACTATTAAAGCACTTCAATTGCTTTGGCCACTGCTCCAAACTAAAAACATCATTTGCAAACTAGCAAAATTACTAACAAATTCAGACATAATACGCGACATCTTTCCCCACGGCTTTTTCCCAGACGATTAACACGTAAGTATAATTTACAAATATTCTTAAATAATAAATTTAAATTAATACTAACCATTCTTTACTCATGTTTCTTTTAGATTTTTAGTCTTCATACCACGATCATCTGCAAAAAACAGAAAAGAAAAATAAAAAATAAAAACTTGTTAAAATTATTCTAAATTTCATTAATATTTTCCACACAATAATCTGATAAAATTCATACCAAATGTAGTAAATTAAATTATAATTTATTCCCCCATAAAGCAGTAAATTTAAATATGATGAAAATTTATAACTTTAAATTTCCCCCAAAAACTAGCAGTAAAATTGAAATTCAACGTAATAAATTGATAAAATGAAAATGCAGTACTAACCTTTTGATATTTTCATTCACTCGCACAGGAATTCTATCCAAACTCGCACAGCTCGCCCACGAAGAATTGTTTAAATAATGAATTTCAGTTTCAAGTTTTCACACTCAACAACTCTAACACACGATAACAAGTTTCAAACTTTCCTTTAACCCGGTTGGAAAGGAATTATATACTAAACCAAACTAACCAACGCAGCTTACTAAACACCACAAATCATAAAATAACAGCATGACTAAGAAAAGAAAACCAACGGTACCCAAACCGGATTAACCCAGTTTAAAACTGGATAATTTATTCTTTTGAAGACTACTATAAAGTCTAAGAAAGAAATAATAAAACACAAAAAAGTCGAAAGACAAACCCACAACAAAAACAATTTGATTTTTGAAACAAGGACACAACCAAAGGAACACAAGAAAGACCAACATAAACCCAACATAAAACGTTATCACATAACAGGACTTCTCAAAGAAACCGCACGAAATCATACTCCCACTCCTGGCCTAACCCACCAGAGAGGACGTCCTGAGCATGCTCTATAGCCGGCCTAACCCACCGCGCTACATCCACGTTTTGTGACCACACTACTATTTTTAATAAGAGGTACTCAAGGGTGAGTAACTCTTCAAAATAACCGAACTAAAACAAAATGCTTTTGTGAAAACAACTAACTAAATTCATAATTAAAAAACTGAACTAATAAAAATTTTATAAAATGTAAATCATACCTTGCAGTATATAGATCAGCACACAACAACAAAGACGAACATCCAAAGACAAAATGACCCCACTACACTCGAACAAGAATGGCTAACCACAACCGATATGCCGTCCACAATCACAACTCAAAGGATTTAGAGTACGACTTGACTTCGCAGAAAAGGACTTCATTGAACTAGACCAATGACCACCTCGATGTTCAAGTATACGTACAGATCCGAGTTACAAGGCATCCCCTCCACGCTTAATCTCCACGCCATTCCCAGACGAGGTTGAACACAAAACAAGTTCTCTACATATTACAGAAAAACCCGTCATAGCAAACCATTTTGAAATCAGATTGATTTCGTTGGGAAACACAGTCGTTGTCACAAGAAGACACAACGATTGATGCCCCTAACTCCAGCGTCCTGAAACTTCTCTAACAAAGAGGAACCGGACAAGAATACGATGTTCACCAAATACCAACGTTCATCATCCATCCTTTGAATTGCAGAAGGATAAATCTAAAAAACTCTGTAAAACCCGGATGGGTGGAACCTGATCTAAACTACATTTTATGATTGGATAAATTAGATATTTTACCACTGTAAAGTATTTAATATTAACCAATCATGATCCATCTAACTAACAACCCACTTATTTTTAAGTGCTGAAATTACTTGTAATTTCAGCACCAGAGAGATTTGAATTTAACTTAGAAATTGGTTGTCTCTCCAAGAGAACTTCAGCAACCGCAACAAACCAGTATACCCTAGATCTATTGAGCCTAGCAGAGACTAGTTAAACACCCTGAGACTAGAAAGTATAAGAGTAAGATTAGGATCGGTATTAGACTAAGAAGTTGCACGAATCTATCCGGCCGAAAATAAGATAGCGTGACGAGCAGACGGTGTACCCTATCCGAAATTACTCTATGAGTTAACCACATCGGACCTAACTCACATAATTGATTTGTTACTAGGAGCAAAAAATATCACTTTGTATTTTGTATTCTTACCCGGATTCATAGGTTCGATACCTTTCGGGAATCTTTTTTTTTCATGTAACTTTATTATATCACCATCAAAACCCTACTTTGGCCAAATTGACTGCGCTGCAGGCGAATTTCAGAAAAAAACTGACCAAAAAACCGCGTTTTGTTTCTGCGCGTGCTTCCTTCTTAAAATTTGTGAAATATTGGCGCCCAAGGCGCGTTGAAAAAAATTTAGGGTCGCTCTTCTTAAAGTAGTAGTAAGGAGGGTCGTAGTACCTTTGGCTCGTCAGGAGGTCAAATCGCTAAAAGGAGAGGGCGTCCACCAACCCCACCCCCTAAATCCGCTACTGGTTGAAATGAACACTTCAAGTGTTGATGCTTGAAACTGACTTAGACTACTCGCCAGTATCTAGATTACCTGAGATTTTTTCAGCGCAGCACATCAAAAAATGAGAAAATTAAAACCAATTTTGCCGTTTTCTCGGAATTTTTTGGAAGTCTTATAATCGACGCAACCTATGTCTCAATGTTTTTATGTTAATAGTTTTTTTTATTTCCGATCAACCCTCCTTCAGGTGATGGGAGGAAACTAGCAGGGGGTGTTTTTTTCTCCGATTTCGTCTGCATCAAAGTAAACTCATATTCAGCAAAGTTGGTATCATATTGGTATCATTCAGATTCCAATAAATTCAAAACTTTTCTGTATCAATTTTTTTCAATTTTCAATTTTCTTCAATTCTCAGACTAACTTAGAGAAATTGAAGGAAGGCTGACCTCGAACAAGTTAATTTCTACTTACATTGTGGCAATTATTATCCATCGTTCTATTTTTTTTTTCACCTAATTCAGTTGCCTTTTCTAAAACAATTATATAATGAAAATTGAACAAAAGTAAGAAATAAATCAATTTATTTTCGTACTGGTTTATTTGAAGTTCGATCTTTTTTTAAAATCAGTGATTGGAAAATTCTGTGTTACAGCATAGCAATCGGCAATCCTTGGTTTTTTAAACTAAATTTTTTTCTTCACAACAATTTCAGTCAGCTTATATGTCGTAATTTCAAATTGAACGCAGACCTCTATCCGAGCGGGAGCGAACATGATCATTTATACCTCGATTATTGATGCTCAGAAAATAATCAAAATGCAACCCCCCCCCCCCCTATCCTTTTGCTTTGGTATGAAAACAAATTTTATATTAAATGACGTCACTATTTGTGTCCCGAAATAGTGTGACGTAAATATCTGTAACTTCATAACAATTTGTTTATTATTTATTTAGCTAAAATAGTGATGTCATTTTACATATGGGTAATAGAATCATCATATGGAAATTGGACATCTGGGCGGAAATAATAGTCACACGATAGGACACGCTTTGCCGTTAATAATTTGGGTTTTATATCTAAGTTTCTGACTTTTCAATTGGCTGCTGATAGTTTCAGTCGTTAACTTCTTAATATTCAATCAATATTTCGGTCAAAATCACATATGACTGCGATGCTATAGACGAGAAATGATAGAAAAACGATAGAAGTGAGCTGCGATTACCATCATCATTAAGTAGCATATGAAACCAAACATTGTAGTTCGGACTTTTCTTTAATACTTTCCACCAAATCAGCAAACTAAAACTACCAAATTACCGTAGAAAAGATTACACTTCTTGCTGTTAACGTAAAGGACATCTTAAACATCTTAAACATAACATCTCAGCAGCCATCGACTCTTAGTCTGAATCACAAAACAATAAAGCTTGCCTCGCTTTTATTCTCTTCAGAAGTCAGCGCAAACACAACAAAATAAACTTTCTTACGCAAATTCGAAAACAATTTGCTAGTTTTATTTCTTACTTTAAAACACCACAAGATTTTATTTTTTTCAATACTTTTTCAATACTTCACAAGCAAGATTCAAATCGGAGCGTTTTATGCAGTCATTGTAATCACAATCTCAAACGCAAGAGTTGAAAAAGAAAACATTTTAAACGTTTATAGCGTGGCGACCGGTTAAAAAACTGTTTTTTTTTTATCGCGTTTAGGTAATAACAATAAATTTCAGTTTTAAGCTTCGATAAATTTATGTTAACTGTTTTGTTAGAGCTTATAGAATTGAGTCAGTTTTATTATATTTCGCCTGAAAGTTGGGTTATAAATTCAATTAACTAGACGGATCAAAATCCAGTGGATCGTGGATCTATCCTCCAATTTGCGAACTATTATTCTTGTTACTTAACGTTACTAGCAATTGCAGCCCACAATTTTATCATAAATTTCTTTCTTGGAACCAAGAACGAGAGAACCCTGTTACTAAAATTTGAAACCCTCTGACAAGTTTTACGAATTTTAGACATACGCGCCTTGTAATTCTTCAAAAATTATTTTATCCTCAGCCCAATCAGCCCCGGCGCAATTCAAGTGATCGTACTTACGCAGAATCAAACGAAATAAAAGAACCAAAGTACAGAACATTAGTTTATTATTTACAAGTTATTTATTTATTCGTCATTTTGTTACAATTTATAAGTGCGATTTGTGATTTCATAAAAGAGTTTCCAGAAATCGAGCTCTTAAAGATTGTAAAAATAACTCAAGGAACAGAGTTGTTTATTGTTCAGCCGTGGTGCATTTCTTGCCAAATTGCACTTAACGATTTGATTAAAAACAAAAGGTATAATTTAACTTATTTAGTCGAGTAATGAAAATAAGAAACAGTCAGCAAAAATCATTAACAATTCAGTGCATGGGAAAGACTACACCGAAAGAAAAAAATGAAAGCCTCAATCTCTGGTTGAATTTGTTACCCGCAATTTGATTTTATGGCTTCTACTGCCAGTTATTTTGAGCATCCTGTTTTGCTGTTTGCTGTTACTGTTAAAATTCTCCTTAAAACACGTTTTCAAAGTTGAGTTATATTTAATTGAAAAAAAAAAACATTTCAGCCAAATCAATTCAAAAAGCAGATCGGTAGGGTAAATTAGTCGTTTCCAGCCATTTTATTCGCCCTGAATTTTGACCCGAGTTAAAATCTTCCCTGATACGCAGTGCGTTCGAATACTATCAGCAGTTACAATTTAAGTCAACCGGTCAATTTAATCAACTTAACTATTCAACCATTATCTAAGTTAGCGCTTCAAACAGTGCTTTTTATACTTACCATTACTTTTTTATTACCAATTTTGGAGTTGGAGTTGTTTTATGGTGATAATGATGCTTGGGTTAGAAGCTATGCGTGGATTCAAAACTGCTTTCAGTCGTGTTTTTGTCATGCTGTTTCTCGCTATTGTCGTCGTCTTTTTTGAGTCGACAACAGCAGCCGAGTCAGTCTCCAAAGTCAAACGTGTCGGTCAGTCAAATCAAACAAAGCTACAATTATGATAGTTACAGGTGCTGCTCTCGGTTATTCTCGAAGGGGATTTTCATAAAGTTTCGCTAATTTTTTGTTGACCTTTTTTAGGTGACCAAATAGATTTTCAAAGCTCTTCCAGGACACAGCAAATACCATTTTCTGGTAACACTTTGGGCGCACAAAGCAACTAAAAAACAGGTCGAAAATTCCGTTTTTAAATGAGTTTGACTTGAAAAAAACCGCACTCTCCCCGCTCTAAAAATTGGCAGATATATCTGGCCTTAGCAAAAAAATGTATGGTCGGTCAGCTAAAAAAAAAGGATGTAAAGTTGTACCAAAGGTGACTTTTGGATGGCCAGGTGGTCAAATTCCTGAAGGGGGCATCCCCCGCCCCCTAAATCCACTGCTGGATAGATTGGTCCGTTAAATTTAGATGACCCCGAAGAAAAATTTCTAGAGCTTGAAATCTTTAGAAACAGGGAGAGCATTTGCTTAATTGTTTTTGAAGTTTTCAAAATATAAATTTGGGCGACAAGGGAGCAAACAGTTTTATATGTACCCAAATAAAAAAGCGAACGTTTTTTATTCACACTTCGCCTATTGACGAGCCGCATTTTTGTCTTAACAATAAATAAACAATGCGATTTCTAGATAGAGACGATGAATGAGAGGGCACTTTAAGACAAGAAAATATTTAGACGATCATTTTTTCCTCATTATTAGTATGATAATTATGATTATAAAATTACAGACTAGATAAGCGAGTCTGAAGGAATTGCTCCCATTTAAGTTCAGCTTAAAGTTTCCATTTGCTTGATACTATCTCTGAATAGCCGGAGTCGAAATACCTCCAAAAGTATCTTAAATTTCGAGATTTGAGACCATGGCTGTTGCAAAAGTCGACCTCTAGTTCAATTCTATTACTAAGTCTTGGAGTTCTTATCCAGAAGTTCGCATCCGCAAGTTTCTGTTTCGGGATCAGGACTCTGAACCTTGTGCGCTGAGCAATTCTGGTCGCGGCAGACCCCTTTGTGATCATAGTTATAAAAATTCATAATGTTGAAACTGGCTAAATTCTAGGAAAATTTTCCCATTTTGACAAAACCTTGCGATTTGCAGAAACAGCTCACGTTTGTTCAATTCTTTGACAACCATGTCAGATTTTGTGAATGCCGTAATTTGGGAAATAATTTTTGAAATTCGGTTGAATCTTTGATGGAAAATTTCAAGATGCGTGAAAAAAAATTCTTGAAGTTTAAGACACACAAACTATTTTAAATTGGGTTGGTCTAACTGAAATTAGAAAACAAGACTGCTTGCTAACTTCCGACTGTCCCGTAACTTGTCTCGAATAATACTTGTTAAAAACAGTTTTGATGAGCTATATATAGTGCTAAAATTTGAATCGAGTTGATATGACCAACTTTTTTTGCATCTTTCAATTCGGAATTTCGATTATGAGTGCGGCATAATTCGCTATGCAAAAATAATTTGCGTATTGCAAGTGCTAATGAGCGGTTTTCCAGCCCAGTTTTTTGTTCCGACTTCCGAAGAAAGTGAGAAATATATATGCTTGGGTTGTTTTTTTTAGACTCAATTTACAAATCTCTGGTCCTTAGGGTTATCGATCTATTGATCTGCATGGGAACAGCCCGGTGTGCACACCACTATAATAAATTGCCACAAGTCTGAGTAAATTGTTCGTTCTCTAGTTTACACGCAGCTAATTATCCCGCACTACAAAATCGTTCCAAATTGTATTGAGGCAGCTAATTGGTTTCATTAATTCCATTCACGACTCAAATTTAATAATTAAATTATCAGTCTAAAAATCTTAGTTTTGCTAATATTTAATTCACCAAAAACTATTCGAGACCAATTTAAGAGCAGTCGGAACATTCAGGGCTTTGCCCTCATGCGAACAGTCTTATTACTTACTTTTCACAGATCGTTTTTCTCGCTGTCAGATTGTTTGGTAAAATCGACCTGAATTTCAAAAAATACGAGTATATATATTCCTCACTTTCTTCGAAAGTAGGAACAATAGTGCCGAAAGTGTGATTAATTTTTTCAGAGAAAAGTTTGAATGATCACTTGATTCATTCACAGCAGTTCGTGGTCTTTTTGCACAAGTTTGATGTTTATTCTTGGCTTGTGTTAGTCAAGCACAGCATTTGTATCAAAACACTTAAGTTGACATATGGAAAAAGGCTTTAATTATGAAAACTGAACTGAAACAAAATTTAATTATGCCGAGCAATTTGAATTGATTGTTGCTTTATGCTCAAATGCGATAGCCGATTAGAGATTTTTTTTATAAGTGTGTATTTAGAAGATAATCGTATATTTTGAACATAGGAATATTTAGCACCATTAAATTTTGTACTGAAAACCTTCATCACGTTTTTGTATTTATGGTACAAACGACGAAAAAAGCGAACTGCGATATGCTGTCCAGAAAAATCTTTGAAAATATTCGGACCGATAGACAACAAGAAAAATTTGTAACTTCAAGACACTAGCTAAAATTAATCAAGATTTCAATTACTACTAAATAACGCGTAATTGAGTACTGCTTTTGCTACAACAGCTTTTCTGAAAGAAATCTTTAGATTTTGAAAGCAGATGTACTTCTGATGTCTGCTCTTGAATTTACAAATGTTTCTTGTCGTCTTTCGGTCCGAATTTTTTTGAAGATTTTTCTGGCAGTTCTCGCAGCATATCGCAGTTCTATTTTTTCTTCGTTTGTTCCGTAAATATAAAAACGTGATAAAGGTGTTCAGTCCAAAATTTAATGGTGCTAAGTATTCCTATGTTTAAAACATAAGATTATCTTCTAAATACATACTTATAAAATAATCTTTTATCGGCTATCGTATTTTGAGCGTAAAACAACAATCTTGTAAACTCATGTTGTAACAAGAATATTTGGTTCCTTTGCAAGTAGCCCAGAGGTTTACGACCGCAGTAACTAAAAAAGTTAGACAAATTTTAGCCTGCAAATGTTAACCGGAAAATCAGCAGTTGATAACAAGTTTTGTTTTGAAAATTTTTTGCAGGGAAAGTGCTTAAGAAAGTTTCAGAAACTGCTTATTCAAGCTCAAATATCTTTATATAGCCTTATTTTTGATGAACGCTCTCTCTAATCGCTCGTTTTAAGCAAAAGTTTGAAACGTGTTTTTCTCGACACTGAATCATGATTTTAATGTTTCTCAATTTTGAATCACGGCTGGAAGGGTTTCAATATTACATATCACTCGATTGATTTTAATGATGATTGTTCATGATACTTGAGCTGACGTGGAAAAAGACTAACAAAAACCCGAAGACAAAGTTCATTCCCACTTTCGGTGATCGGAAAAATATGTTGAAAAATAAAATCGAAAAATAGTGCCGGATGTTTCAATTTTCCATTTTGCTCAATAACTTAGCTGAAGTTGATTTATTGTTTTTTTTAAACTAGAATGTCAGGGGACGAACAACCACATCTCGGAAAGTGGCACTCACGAAGAACACTTCAAACTATTCTTCGAAAGGTACAACAAGAACTGCACGATGATAGAAGGCAATTTGGAGATCACGTACGTGCCAGAAGACAAGGATCTCCACTTTCTCGACTCCATCCGGGAGATCAGTGGATACCTGCTCATCTACCAGACCAGTCCCAGAGTTGTGAGACTGGCTGGTTTGGAAGTCGTGCGAGGGCGGGAACTGGCCAAGTTCGATGGGTCTCCTCACCCGTTCTCTGTGGCTGTGTTTGTAAACGAAATGGAGTATCTCTTACTGCCAAAACTCAAAGGTACGCATCCACCTTCTAAATTGCACTCTTTCAGTCTAAGTCTCACCATTCAATAGGTTGAAATATTCGCTACAGCTCAAATGTTTTATCATTTGATATATTATTATTTAATATTCGGCATGTAGTTTGAGACCAAAAGCATCCAAAACTGTTCTTTTTCTATTAGGAGATAGAATTTCCGACCCATTTTCAGCTTTTGTTTTGTTTTGTTTTTTCAACAGAAATCATCCTTCGGCGTTCCGTTTTGAAGAAGTTCAAATTGACATCTAGAATGCGAGACGGGTGGCGACATACCTTAATTATTCAAGGCAACTGGCGTGTTAGGCTATGCATCTACCCTCTTCTTGGTTTTGAGACTTCTAGATTGAGTCAACTTTTATCATTACTAAACTGTACATGGTTAAGCACACTCAGTCAGTCGCAAATTTGTGTACGTACCACAAGATAGAACTATAATCTTTCATAGACCAAATATGCCTGATTAATATTCAGTATTTACCATATTTGAATTGGTGAAATGTTTATATGAAAAAACGTAGTGGTATGATATTTAGTTCTTTTCTAAATTTGCTCCGAAATAATCAAGTTACATTTTGTTGGTCTGAAAATCTGCACAAATATTTGCTAACCAGACTTTCAGGTCAACCACTATAAGCATTAATACACAACGCCCGATGAAATTGAAGCTAATTTTTGCAAATTTGTGCTAGCATGGTATAAAGCATACTGTTACATCTGGTACATAATAGGGAACGTAACCTTCATTATATATTTGACGATATAGTAGAAGCAAACAATGCCTTAGATCTGCTATTGTTGTTCCTTAAAGTTGAGTTTTGTTTGTTTGCTCAAAAATGGCACGGGAAAGTTCCTCAAACAGTTGATCACTAATTGTTGTAGAAGTTTCTGATTGTTATGATTGTTGGTAATTGTAGAAATTTCACGTTAATACCGCTCTGAGCAATATTTGCTGACAGAGTTGAGTGGTGGTGAAATTAAATGCAAAAACAAATTAGATATTTAATTTTTTTTAAATCGATGCTTTTTGCTCACAGGTGTGAATGAAACATGTGCTGAAGCTCATTCTGAATATTAGCTCCCTGATCCTTAGGGTCTGATGCCGGGTTGGGGGAGGCTGTTTCTTCCGAAAAAAAAAATCGAAAACAGCTTGACATTATCTGTCTGAAGATTTTCTTTTGCCGGAACTTACTGTGCCGCAGACAAACCCAAAAAATATTTTTGGAAGGTAACTTTTTTGGCTAGCTCTCGTTGCCCTGAATTGGTTGGTTGGCAAAAAATATGCAAGCATGGAGTGTGCTAGTACAATTCCTGAGGAGAGGGATCGGTAGTTTTTGTAGAAGACTGATTGTTGATGGTAATTGGTGGTTCTGATTATGAGAAGGTATCCACTGATCTCCCGGATAGAGTCCAGAAAGTGGAGATACTTGTCTTCTGGCACGTACGTGATACAGCTAAAGGGCAATAATCGCTGAGGCGTTTGAACGGTGGTCAAATTTCATACAATAAATTTATAAATTTTTTGTAGACTGATGCTCTTTGCTCAGATTTGTGAATGAAATATGTGCTTAAGATTGTTTTCAATTGACCCGCACTGATCCTCAGGGTGGAATAAAGTGGATCCTCAGGGTAGAATGGTTTTCTCGAGGATTGATCTTTTTTTGCTCGAGGATTGATCACGCGGTGATCTTTTTTGGTTTCATGTGATCAAACTTAATTTTCTATCTATTTTAAATAGAAAAAAGACTGCTCGTATATCAAAGCAAAGCCCTGAATGTTCCGACTATCCCTTAATTCATATCGAATAGTTTTTGGGAGACGAAAATATTGAAAACCTTCAAATTTTGGAAAATATCAAAGTGTGAAATATTGAGTCGTACGAAATAAATACGATCCGATTAGCTAGCCTCAATTCAATTTGGAACGATTTTGTTGTGCGGGATAATTCGCCACGCATAAGTAATTCTCGTTACGATATCAGCAATATGAAGAAATTCTTCAAAGCGCGCGTAATTTAGTCCAGAACTTGGCCAATTTTCAAACCCCCAGAACTTCCAAAAATAATTGGAGGTAAAACATCTTTTTACATTTGAACTCAGGAAGTCCATATCTTCAATGGGGTATAAAAAATTTTCGGCGCAAACTATGATTTCGATAGGCGAAAATTGGCTGAATAAAAAAAACCACACCGAGCATAAATATTCCGTTTTCTTCGAAAGTCGGAACAAAAATACCCTCTTCTGGTTTTTTGGCCTCCGGCAAATTCGTGAGGAAAACATTTTCAAAGTATCAACCAAAAGTTTTTTCTGCGCACGCCTTGCTCAAAAATTGGTTGACCAGTTGGCCAAAAGTTGTCATAAATTAGGAAACTTGGGTGAATTTGTGGGTGAAAGGGGAACTTATGCGCCGCTGGCAAACCCACGAGAAAATATTTTGCTAAATTTCAACGATTTGATCGTTTTTTACTAAGCTCTCCCCGCTCAAAATTGGTTGGTTGGCCAAAAAATATGCAAGCAAAGTAATCTGATCTTGTGCTAGTACAACTTGTGAGAAGGAGAGGGGTTGGTATATTTTGTAGAAGAAGTTTGCAGTCGGAACAATCAAAGTGCAGTCGGAACAATCAGTGCTTTGCCCTGGTGACCGAGTTGTCTTGTTATACATTGATGGTTTTTTTCAGAGTTGTGAATGGAAATTGTGATTATATAATGAAATTTGTGCTTAGATATTTTCAATGAATCCGCTCTGCTCCCCAGGGTCGAATACAGTATTAGCTCAAGCTTTGATCTTTTTTTTGATCGAGCTCGAGGATTGATCTCGCTATCATTTTTTTTATTTCACATAATAAAATTCAATTTATACGTAAATAGAAAAAAAAATAGCCTCTTCTGTCTTTTTTTGCCACTAAACCCATAAGAAAATCATTTGGATACCATAGAAGGCACTAAACAAAAGATTGGTGCGCACCCCCTCTAAAAAGGTGGTTGGTTGATTGGCCAAATTGTGACATAAGTTGGTGACCATAATCTGACAACAAGTTGTTGAATTCTTGAGGGAGTAAAGGAGCCTTAGTTTGATCTTAGTTCAATCGTTTATGGTACAGTATTAAAGCCGTATCAGTCGTGATCCGAACTCAAAAATAAAATGACATTTTTTTGGTGTTGAGATAAACTGGTCTGATAGTTTCGGCTGTCAGACTAAGTTAGACAACAATTGATGAATTTACTTTCCGAAATCAATGTGGTCGGAACCTTCTGTGATCAATGTTCACCCATCTACCGGCTATATTTGTTCTTTATATCAGTTTTCTTTTGTTTTGTAAAGAGAATCGTGAAGCAAACTTAGTATAGAAATTGAATCGTCAAGTCATAGTCATTCTTATTCCGGTTTAATGCAACCACCTAGGGTTCAAAATGAAATCCACTTCAAATCCCTGTTTTATTGATTGCTTAGGTGTTCGTAGATTTGCAAGTTGCTTGTTTTCTTGCGAAATATGTTTAGCCAAGCTACCTTCACGTGGTGTATCGAACGTATGCCACTTGTGTCCGGCTGGCTTAAAGTGTGTTGCGTCTATTTTACGCGTCGACGTGTGTTCATGGTCGACTTTATTTGCCTCTAGTTTTTGTTTGTTTGCCGTTTCTTTCTCTCATTTCGAGGTGTATATGAATAAGTATGTCGTGAAAGAGAGAGTATTTCACGCTGGCAAATGAAATAATACTGAAATCACTAATCAATAGCGACTGAGATACCAGGTTCAAGCATGCAGCGATATTTGGTCTAACTTGACTCTTATTTAGTCGCACGTTCGAATCAGATCACAAAAGGCTTGTTTTGTTGTTATTTTGCATTTATTATTATTATGACAAAGTTTCAAGTTGGACGAACTTGATGCAAATTCAGGACTTCAAAATTATGTTTCTAATCTACAAGCTTTTGCAATTTAATCAAAGACTTTCAGCTACCGAGACAAACAGCCCGGTTGAACCGCACAACCCCCACCCTACTATGTGGCCTACAGTAGAATCTCTCTCCAGATCTTTTTTACTACCCCCCCCCCCCTCACCCATTTGATACCTTGTCATGAATTGCCACCCCGAAAAAGAACTAAATCAACCGTTAAGCATATGTGAATTTTGTACTAAGCTACGAGTCTCTTCCCTTTTTAAAGGGAAGATAATTCAAGAGATCCGAATCTGCAAACCCCTCTCAGCAGCCGCTATACTTTTTTATGAATTTGAAATTGGTGTAAGAATAGTGTTTGTCTTTTATTTCTTGTCAGTGTAAAAGATGAAATTTTTGAATGAAATTTTTTGTATCAAAAGCTGCCAAACATCGAAGTAATAGATATGCACAAATAACGAATCTTTCATTTTTTTAAAACTTTTTTGTGGTTCAATTTACCACCGCTCAATTAAAGACCGAAAAGAAAATAAAAATAATGGGCCGACATTTTAAAGATAAACTGATTGCTTATTATGTAATCAGTTCATGATCTTTAAAATACCGCCCCATCATTATATTTTTCTATTCGGTCTTTAATTAAGTGAACCACATAAGAAGTCAAAAAATGAATGGTTCGTGTTTTGTACGTTAAGAGGTTGTATATGACGATGATACTCTCTTGACTCAGTCGCGAATCACTGACAACATATGAAAATTTTAAATTTATAATACAACAAGACTGCTCGTATCAGGGCGAAGCCCTGAATGTTCCGACTGCCTTTTAATGTTTAATAAAATGTAATTAAAATGAAAAAAAATTTTTCTAATGAAAATCATCCCCCCACACACAAAAGGATAAGTTTCGCTCCTTGTAACAAATCAATTATGGCAAATAAGCTTCTTCCAACTAATTTGGAACGATTTCTAAGACGGATTAAATCTCCGCTTACGCGTTAATAGCGCGAATTATATCGCGCGTTAATTGTCCCAAATTGGTCAAAAGGCCAAAATGGCAATCTTTAAACCCTCATAACTTCAAGAAAAATGATCACAGGTAAATATCTTTTCAAATTTAAGCTCAGGACAACAATAGCTTTCGAATGATATAAAAAAATTCTGTCAAAAATGGCTAGTTAAAAAGTCGAAATTTGTCTGAAGAAAAAAAAACCCACCCCGAGCACAAATATTCCGTTACTTTCGTATCGAAAGTCGGAACAATTACAAAAAAAAATTGCATGATGTTGATTTGAATCATTGAAATAACTGATATTTAGTTTAGTTAATAAGACTTGGTGGATATACTAGGTTTTTGTTATACATGCATAAACGATCGGACTTCGGAAAAGTAATATTGAAAACGCGAAAAAAGTAAATTTCGAGCTTTTTAATTTCCGGATTAATTAAATTAGTAAATAAATTGTGGGATAATATAGTAGTTTTTCAAATCGGAGAAATTCTCAAAAAAAACTAATGAAAAACAAGCATGTGTTACAATGTGACGTTAGGTCAGGCACTTGGAAATGATTTCAGAAATTAAGGAAACTTAAGGATATGATTTTTCAAAATTCTTTAGTGTTGAAATTTTCAATAATTGTTCCAAATTTTGTCGATCTTGCCTTTAAGTCAACAGAATGTGTGGTCAAAAATACAAAATTTTTTGTTTTGGGCTTTTGTGCCAGGGTTTAAAAATTATGTTCTTTCAGAGCGGTTTGAAATCAAATTTGACAATCATTTGCCACAAGTGTGAAAAGAAATATTTAATAGTTATTCAATCAATACTGGATGTCGTTACGTAATATCAAATGGTGATGCTTTTAAAGGGTTAAGGGCATCTATTTTTTTTGGGCGTATAGCTGGCTTCCCTTTCCTTCATCCAGCCAATTACATCCATGTTTTAACGCTTTAATTTTTTTTAAAATTTATAAAAGCAGTTCGGAGTAAAAATAGTCAGCGCGGAATTAAGTGAAAATGTTTTAAGTTCATTATGAATGGAGTTACTCGAACAAAGTTTGACTCGTTTACCGGTTCTCCCACTACGAACAAGACAATTGGGTGATGAATTGATTTTACTCGGCTGTAGATGAAGTCCTAATGACCTAGGTTATGTTGATTTTCTATAGGGTAGTGTTGGATTTTTCTATAATTTGAAATTTTCTCGAGCTCTTTCAGGTCGCCTGAATGGCTGCAAATCTTTTCTTAGAAATTTATAAGTTTGGAAAGCAAGCTTTTCGTAAGCCGGAAACTGTTATTAATTACTATGGATGTAGTTAATCGGTCGAAGTTTAGCTTATACTTTGTGGCTTTATGTGTTTAGAGGTGAGTACTGGTCGTGTTCTGGTGACGAACAATAAGAATTTGTGCTTCATGGATCTGGTCAAGTGGACTGACATTGGAAACACACACCTACACAGCCTCGAGTCTGAGTATGCCATGGACAACGGGGGTTCCAATCAGAAGTGCGCAGGTCAGTTCAACAGACACGCGCTAACTAACTATTCGGGTCTTATCGGTTGTACGTACAGTCCTTCCAAAATGGTTAATTATAATTTCCAGTTGCCCATACGAATCTGATTGTCTTAAATATTCAGTCTTGAATCTTGACAAGATATATTTAGAACCTTGTCCTAAAAAAATCTTCTGGCACATTTATTCAACGCATTAGTAAACTCAAGACATCGCCAAGTTTAGAGGCGGGGGGGGGGGGGAATTGTAAACCGTTAGACGCAAAGTCTTTTACGCCAATCTCTTTTGATTTTCGGTTTCTTAATACCGCTTAGGTAAAAAACAGTATATTTTCGGGTGAAGGATTTTATAGCAGATGAGATGTGCAGATTTACTTGTAAAGTTCTTGCAGATGTACAAAGTTCTTCTCGTCTTTTTCTCTTTCTCTGTATCTAATTACGATTACTGGTTTAAGTTTTGATGTATGACACACGAAGATTTTCAAAGGGATCTAGCCGGATAAAAAAATCGCCTTGATGGCATCATAAAAGTGTAGTTGGTACCGAAGAACCCTAGTAAACAACACAATAATTTTGAATTTTGGACTTAATACTGTGCATTGAAAAAGTAAGGATCTTAACGAACCCTCACGTCAATATTTTTTTCAACAACAAAAGAAATTGAACATATAACTTGGCTCAAAAATATAAACTAACTCAGATTTTAGTAATTTAGTAAATAAATCAACGAATTGTCAGTCAACTTAAGTGTGCGACTTTGGGAAATGTTCTATTTTCTTCTTATATTGAAGGAAAATTCTGCGAGGGTAAGCTAAGAGCCTAAACGTCTGAATGAACAGTTAAATTCCAAAATTTTTAAGGTTGTTCCAAAAGACAGTTTTATTTCCAAAATTCAGTTAGTTACAGAGAAAATGATAAGAGCGCGAAGAAAAGTAGCGTTCATTTCATCGGTTGAAAACTAAAAGTTGCAACTTCTTTGTCCCGTGGTCGTAGCCCAGGTCATTTTTGAAAAATTTTTATCGAACTGTTAAGATGATTAAACGGTTATAATCCGCGTATCATTCCTCGTTCTTGATAAAATGATAGTTAAAAGTAAGAAGACTGCTCGTATCAGGGCGAAGCCTTGAATGTTCCGACTGCCTTTTAAGGTCTATGGAGCAGTAATAACATTTAAAAATTAAATGAAATAAAACAAAAATTAAAAAAAAATTCTAAAATTTGAATTTTTTCATAAAAATCATCCCCCCACACGCCATATTAAGAACAAAAGGATAAACTTTATTCCTTGTAAATTTCGCTCTTCGCCATACAATCACTTATGGCAAATAAGCTTCTTTCAACCAATTTGGAACGATTTCTAAGACGGATTAAATCTCCGCTTACGCGTTAATAGCGCGAAATATATCGCGCGTTATTTGTCCCAAATTGGCCAAAATGGCAATCTTTAAACCCCGTAACTTTAAGAAAAATGATCACATGTGAAATATCTTTTCAAATTTGAGCTCAGGACAACAATACCTTTCGAATGATATAAAAAATGCCGTCAAAAATGGCTAGTTAAAAAGTCGAAATTTGTCTCAAGAAAAAAACCCACCCCGAGCACAAACATTCCGTTACCTTCGTATCGAAAGTCGGAACAATAAATTAAATTTGAGATCTTAATTGCTCAAATTAATGGAGCAATTACTTTTTTCCCAAGATTCGTCAATCATTCTTAGTAGTCTTAACAGTGTTTCAAAATGTATTCTTATGATGAAGCATTTGGCCTATTTGGTTGTTTTTTTTCTGTTACTTGATATATTCAGATATTTTTTACTGAGCTTAACTCAAGGAGAAACATTTAAAGTTAGTTATTGTTCATTTTGAGGCAAACAAATTTGATTTTGAGTGATCTTGTTTGTGTAAATAATCAAAAACACTCAAAATCAAATTTGCTTGCCTCAAAATGGACGACAATTAGTTTTCAGTTTTTCTCCCTATGCTAAACTTTTAGAACCACTGTTATGAACGGGTGATGAACCTTTGCACTCTTAGCTAAACTTATTGCGCCTCTAATTTGAATTGAAATTGCTTTCAATTACATAGCAGAATTATTCGCTCAGCCGTTTTTGAACACCAAAGTTTTGTTTGCGTTTTTTGCTAATTGGGTTGACTTGAGAGAAAAACTGTTGGTCATAATACTTGCTTCAATTTTTACCGCAAATTTTATCATTTACTTTTCTCGATGAAATTTGGACACAAGCCCAATTTTCAGAGACGATTTTGTTCACTTTATGAGATTTGATCAAAAAAACCTTAAGCGAAATCAGCGGGATTACTTCTTCGTTGTATTGCACAAACAGAAATCTTTTTTTGTCTTTTTTACACAAGCAAAGCTTGTGTTATAGTATGAACTCTCTTTTTTATTCCAACCTAAGTCGCAAATTTTGTTGCGACGCAAATATTGTTGCAAAAAAACGTCTTCATTTTGATGAATAACCAGCTATTAAGTACAGCCAATGCTAATGATATGAACACAGACTATTATATTAAAAATGACACTTAAGCTTCAAGGGATCATAGAGCTGTAGCGTAGAGGTAGGGAAGGAGACCAGCAGCAAAATAAGAGGGCTCGAACTTGTCCAGGTTAGGATGTTTTAATGAACTTTTTCGTATACTAGCCAAAATGCATCCGCTTCATTAAATTTCTTTGGTGAATTTCTTTCTTCTTCAAATTGACTGGTATTACTAATGCATCATAGTTGGCTTGCATCACTTAGCATTTATGTAGACAAATGATTGGCGCGCTTCAAATAAGAAATTTTGTAGACTCAAAGGAGACCAGCATCAAAATAAGAGGGTTCGAACTTGGGCAGGGTAGGATGTTTTAATGAACTTTTTTGTATACTAGCTAAAATGCGTCCGCTCTATTAATTGAGGCATGTTATTCGGTAAATTTATTTTCTTCTTCAAATTGACTGGTACTGCTAATGCGTCATAATTGGCTTGCATCACTTAGCAATTATGTAGACTCATAATTATCGCGCGTGACATTCAGTTTTTCCCAGTAGCGTTATCGGTCATATTTTTGCTTGTGTATGCGAAGTGCAAGTTCGCCTCTGTGTAAAAGTTTAAGAAGCACATTTTTCTTCAAAATCAATAGAAAAAAGTATTTGGAACGAACTGCCAGATGTTTGTCAAACAGCTATATTCAAGGTGAAAGTCACTGATTTTGGTTTTTCTGGTAAATACTTTTGTCTGTTAGTTTCTTTTTTACACTAGCATCAACTAAATGCATTATAAAGAACCTTCTTTTTTTCTAACGTAAGTTGCAAATATGGGTGCCATTTTTGGGGCACTCTTACAGCTTTTTGATAGCATGTGCTTTGACATTTGAATAGTAATAAGTTAAGACAGTTGATGCAATTTTAGTTCATCAAATGCACCGAAAAGAAGCTTCTTTGTTTCCAACAATATAACAAAAATAAAAACTCGATTTCAGAAGTTTTCTAAGTCAATGCATCTCGCGATTTTTTGAAATGCATAATTTATACATAATAGGCCTTTATGCTTTGCAATTTGTTAAATGCAAAGTTAGTGTGGATGCCTTTTTGTTATATTCCAAATTATTACTCCAAATTAGTTTGTTATATTCCAAATTAGTTTGTTATATTCCAAATTATTACTCGCAAAATTAGGTCTATTTGTATTTTGTGTCACTTTTGCTGAATGGCATTGGCAATTTATTAGCATATGTAGCTTTATTCATGACTAGTATTTGTTGATGGTTAAGCGTGAGTGGCTAGTGCATGAGAAGCAAAATCTTGTGATTGCAACAGGTCGCAGGTTGAATCCTAGACCTTCTCGAATTTTCACTAAATCGAGGCTTATTTCTATTTTTTTCCTTTTGCACTTTCTAGAGCTGTTTTTTTAAATGTTATCGTTAGTGTTTGCGAAGTGAAGGTCCGCCTCTATGTAAAAATTTGCTTCTTATGTCTTTTAGAAGAGGTTAATAAGTTTCTGTTTTTTCAATGTAACTAAAAGTCAATCCAGCTTTTTTCGCATAATTTCTGACAAAATTTTATAAAACTAATGAAATTCTTAGAACCTCCGTCTCTATAAATTCGGATTGGTTTGGAAGTAGTTATTTTTTCAATTTTGAAAACTTTCTGTAAATGTTGTACTAAGTTGTGTAAAAATTTGCTTCTTAAATCTTTTAGAAGAGATTAATTAATTTCTGTCTTTCCAATGTAACTAAAAATCAATCCAGCTTTTTTCGCGTGATTTCTGACAAAATTTTATAAAGCAATTGAAATTCTTAGAACCTCCGTCTCTATAAACTCGGATTGGTTTGGAAGAAAATATTTTTTCAACTTTGAAAACTTTCTGTAAATGTTGTAATAAGCTTGAAAGGGCAAGGGGGTACTGGAAATATTTAGAGCTTGTCTTGATACAAATTTTCTCTTCGAGAAATTCGGTTGCATTTTTCTAAAGACTTTTTACAGGCTGAAAAAGTTTCTTGGTATATGGCATTCTAAGTCGTCCTTGTTTTCAAAAAAGTCTTAATTTTTAAAATTTATCAATTCTCAGACTTATGGCTCATTTTGTGCTCTATCATTGCATAGTTTTTAGAAAAAAAAAACGTTCTTTGTACAAGCAGCACAGAAAGTTTCGGCCTTATTCGTCATTGCAAAATTTTTAAAAAAGTTAGTGAAAAGAAATATCGAATTCTTTTTTGAATTTTTTGAATGAAATGACGGCCTCCCAGATATTTATATGTTTTTAATTTTTAAGCCCAATAACTCATCTATTAGTATGTTAAAAAACAAAATGAAGTTTTTTTCCGTCGAATTTAGGCAAGTTTGCCTTGAAAGGAAATAAAAGGCAAAACTAAGGCAACTGAAGCTGAAATTGAGTAAAAAAACTACATGAGTGGTCGGAAAAATTATGGTCAGCTTCTTTATTAAATTTGAAAGAAGAATTTTCATTAGGCGACTTTTTAATGCGATTCTGGGAATTTAATTAGTTTTTCGTCCTTAAGTAATATATATTGTAAAAAGTGTGGTGTGTTGTTTCAGCCCAAAAGTGTCATGAGTCGTGTGCTTCCGGGCAATGCTGGGGTCCAGAGGCATCTTCGTGCCAAACATGTAAGAATAAGTTGTTACGCAAGCCAGAATTTCCTTTTCAGGTATAATTTGTAATTGCACAAACATGTCAAACTTTTCAAAAATTCTTCAAAATTTTAACTTAAAGTAATCTTCTCACAGCAAACGAAAAATATGCGCCCGCATTTTAAGTTGGGGACACCACTGTTTCTGGGAACGTTTCAGCTTCTAGGACCCCCTCAGTTTCTAGGAACTCTTCAGTTTCTAGGAATCCTTCAGTTTCTATGGACCCATCGGTTTCTAGGAACCCTTCAGTTTCTAGGAACCCTTCACTTTCTAGGAGCCCTTCACTCTCTAGGAAACCTTCACTTCCTGGGGACCCATCGGTTTCTAGGAACCCTTCAGTTTCTAGGAACCCTTCAGTTTCTAGGAACCCTTCAGTTTCTAGGAACCCTTCACTTTCTAGGGACCCTTCTGTTTCTAGGAACCTTTCAGTTTCTAGGAACCCTTCACTTTCTAGGAACCCTTCACTTTCTAGGGACTTTTCGGTTTCTAGGGACCCTTCTATCATAGTTGTACTGCTGTGAGTTTAGTGACTAAGACAGTGTGTCACGAGAGTTGTGGGAGTCAGCGTTGTTTTGGACCTGGGTATGAGCAGTGCTGCAACGAACAGTGCACTGCAGGGTGTAGCGGGAAGGGCAGCGACAAATGCACTGTAAGCTAAATTTTAAACAAAAAATGAAGTCTATTCTTGTGACAGAAGAACAGAATGCGCGAAAGTTGTCAACCAATCAACTTACTTTTTAGCCTTTCCAGAACTGACAGATTTTCAAATTCAGTTCTTTCAAATTTTTCAACTTTGATTTCTGATTGGCTACGATACTTTTTGAGAAATCGGTCCTTCTGTCGGGACTGATCCACTCGAAAAAGTGAAGGTAAACATATCTTGAAAATTTGGAAGACTGGCTCAAATAGTAAAAAAAAAATAAAAACAGAAAACGCTTGCAATTTATCCAACCCTTATAAATTGTCAAGAATCGTGATGACTATTCTCACTTATGTTACCTAGTACACAATTTCCATTCTGTTTACATTAAGGGAGGGGTATGCAAGATCCGTTATCGCATATTAAAAAATGAATTGATTTTTCTATCGCTCTTAGTCACTTATGTTGTACTGTATTGTTGTATGTAGCTGTGTAATAACTTCGTGGACCGCGGGCGTTGTGTGGGCAAGTGTCCAGACCTGAAGATATACAACCCCCAACTGACAGAGTACGAGGACAACCCGGATGCCAGGTACAGTCTGGGCTATGAGTGCGTCGCCAAGTGCCCACGTAAGTCATCATTAATCATCCGAAAAAGTGTTTGAGAAAAATTGCAAAACAGCTGTCCCCTCTTAGCTCTCCCCCTTAAGTTAGTTCATATTGGCGCCGAATGCTCCTTTCGAACAGTTTCAGGATTGGTGGGTCAGAAATTTCTGTCTCGTTAAGTTGCATCAAAGGCACCCTTTGGACAAATTTAGATGCCAGAAACTGTGATGGGGGGGGGGGGGGGGGTAAATTGGTTGCGGTAAAAGTTTTAACAGAATGTTCCGAATATTGTCAAGATAGCATGCGTGAAAAAAACTAAAAGGTAAAAAAAAATTATAAATTTTCATAATTTTTTTAATAATGTTTTTCATCATAAATTGCTTAACGTGTTTAACGAGGTAACTTTAAACTTTAAGAAATAGAACTTAAACTTTAAGAAGTAGAATTTATTTTTCGTTCTTTGATGTTTAAAAGAAAATGTATGGCTTATATTGCCAATAAGCTGATAAATTTGGTGTAAATTTCGAACTAATTTCTGCCCATCAATATAATCTATAAATTAAAAGCGTGTGTTTAGCCCAAATGCTGATCAGCTCTCAGAACACAAATGCATGTGTGAAACACTGTCCGGAAAAGACCCACAATGTCAGTGGCGTATGTGTCAGTTGTCCAGATGATTTCTGCCCCAAAGGTAACAAAAACCAAATATTAGAAATTGACTCACATCCTGTGCGAACTTCGGAAAATGTTAGTTTTCCGAAAAAAAAAAAAAAAAAAATAGCCGCTTGCTGGGTAAGTAACTCAAAATCTTCGATCGCATTGATTCAGAAAAGGAAATAAAAGAAAATAAAAAAGTCTGCTTATTTTTCAATTTTGAAAAAAGTTAGTTTTTAATTTTTTTTCGAAATCATTTTGTTAATTTTTTTGTATTTTTTTTTGTTGGAAGCGTGATTGAATTATGTTCAATAATAGTAAAATAAGTGGTGATAATAGCTAAATGAACTTTAAAATTATAAGTGTAATTTAAATTTGTTTGTTTTTCTTTTTTTAGGCTGTTCAACTCTGAAGGCTGAAGTGGAGATGCGCTCGGGTGATTACAACTATTCCAGTCTGACCAACTGCACCCGAATAGACGGCTCCCTCATCCTCTCAGACAGGGCCACCATCTTCCAACAGGGGGGTGAGGGGGGCAGGGGCGACTACAGTGCATTGTCCAAGTGGTTTGAAGCTATCGAGGAGGTCACTCTGCAGCTGTCAATCACTGACACACCTCTGAAGAGTCTCTCCTTTTTGTCTCGCCTCAAGAAAATTGGATCGCGCATGGAGGACGAGTCAGTTTCTATTTTTTCTATGTTTTCTATTATTGTGACTTTTAAACAGCTCTCTGGCAAAGGCAATAATATATCTTAACTTATGTGAATAACTTTTACTGGCTAATATGCTTACTCTTACAGTTTTTGGCCAAATTCTAGTTTTTTTGCTGTTTTAACCTGCTGGATTATTTATTATAGTTTTTCCTGGTCATAATCTTTTTCTGAGTTTAACTTTGATGGTTTTTGAGACGTATTGAAGCTGACTAAACGTGTTGTTTCTGACTAATTACTAACTAGTTTATTAACCTCCTTATGTTTCTTTCTTGTCTCTAGCACCGAGAAAGAGGAAAAACCAAATACGTGAGTAGAATTTAACCCTCACCCATCTCATTGCCTGTTGTCTTCAAGACGTTGTCTGTTAATTCCATTCGAACTCATATATGTGACATATGTGGTTCCCCTAATTTCTTGGGAAACTCCTTCAAAAACTACTGAACTTGCCGTTTAACGTTAATGGATTCGAAATAGTTTCCAACTTTCACGGTTTCCAAGTTTATTTGAACAGAGTGCGTCAGTGTCGAGGTCTGCTGTTCGATCCTCGCTAAAAAAGAATATTTTTGCAAAGGTGCTTTTTATTGTAAACATGGCCCTAAATTTCTGCTTTCATTTTTGCCATCACCCATCCTATATCAGTGTTAGATTGTCCTCCTGTTTTATTATGTCTTGTACGTCCTATCACTAGCAACTGTCTATCTTTATGCATAAAAACCAGTGATGTCTATTTAAAAATTTAAATTAAAATTGCTTAAGAAATTTATAAAAATTGTTGTCATCAATTTAACTTTATCCGAAACTATTTAATTTTTTTTTGAAATATGAGCTTTTCTTCAGTCTGTTTTTAGCTGTTCTTCTGCCAATTTTGGGGACTTTTCGCAATTTTGTGAAAAGATTTCCAAAGCAATTTTTTGGGCAGACTGAAGCTACAAAAATTCATCAAATTTGTCATGAAAATTTAGAATGTTTGCTTTTTCCGCGGAACTGTGAAATTAAATTTCATGAGTAAACTCTGTGTTTTGGCGCCAGATCGAATACCGCCGGAGCAATTTATTTTTTTAAATTTAAAATGCTCGATTTAAATTAAAATTTTTCGTTTAAATTGAGTGGCCTCATAACTTCACATTTAAATAAATTGAAATTTAAATAAAAATTTTAATAAATTGAAATTGTTCATTTTTTTGGATGGAATCACTGATAAAAACCTATGCATAATGTCATATTTGTAGTCTAAGTTTTATGTCACGATTGATGCCTCCGTAATTTTTGTGTATCTTCTATTTTCTTTAATTTTTCCCCCGTAGCCTGGGATTGACTCGGACTAGGACAACTTTTTTATTCCTGAAACAAACCGAGTAAAGTTTAACCAGAGTTGAAATTTTATTTTCCTAAGAGTTGAAAACTAGAGCTTATAATTAAGGTAATAGTCCCAAAAGCGCATTGCATGTAGAGTTTTTTTTTGCTGTTTTGAGGTTTCGTTCTGATTGATTTTTTTATGTCAATGATTATGTTCTTGATACTGTTTTGTATAGGAAGGCCAACTTCATAGTAATGAACAACGAACAACTGGAGTACTTGGGCCTTAAGAGTCTAATTGAGTTGCGACACCCCAGAGCCAAAGAGAATCCTGTGACACTGCAGAAGAACCCCAAGCTATGCTACACCAACTTCGAGATGTTCCGCAACCTCACAGTCAACTCTCAAAAAATGACAAACGTCACCAAGTTCATGCCTGGACTAGAACAGAGAAATAAAGAATGCAGTGAGTTTGAAACGCAACATTAAAAAAAAATTTGACAAGTTTTTGACGGTTTTTGCTTGCAATTTAAGTCGGCAACTGATGAAAACTAACAAAAATACTTGAAGTTCAGGTTATTTCAAGTTGTCTTTCATCATTGAAATTAGCTAATGATGGTCAAACGGAGTTAAAATAGGCTGCGTTTACTGCAAAAAAGAGGAATTTTTTGTCATAAGAGTTAATTTCTATCATTAAATTTTGCTTCAAATTATTATAATTTGGTTAAATTTGCATTTTGCTTAATTTGGTTTCACTTCGCTTATAGAGGAGGGAGGTCACGTGTGTCACTCGGAGTGTGTGACTCTGAAGAACGGACAGAGGGCTTGTTGGGGTCCGGGGGCTGACATGTGCTACTTATGCGCCAACTTCCTACTCAACAACAAAACCTGTGTGACCACTTGTGACCCCAAAAACTCATTCATTGTCAACAGTGACTCATCGTCCTCGTCTTCATCTGCTTCGAATCAGGGTGGGGCAGTTAAAAAGTGTGAGAGTTGTCATAAGGAATGTGCTGGATCTTGCACAGGACGGGTGAGTGATTTATCGATGGTTTCAGTAGAGTAAAAGTTGCCGAAGTATAAATCAGCTGCGGTCCCAGTGATCCCAGTGATCTTGAGTAACAAAAATTTTGATATTCATCGTTGTTCTGTACGTGAATTTAAGTTTAAACTCGTAAGTTTTAATAATTTTGGACTCGTGTTTTGTATATGGTCTGCTATTTTCCTTTTTCCATTTTTTACACTCACAGGTTTTGCAGTGTTAAATAACAGCGGATATTAATGTCAAATAGTCTTAAGAAAACCAATAGAAGCGAAAAAAGGGAACTGGAAAAGATCCACATTGAGTCGTTGCGTTTTTTTTGTACTTTATTTGTTGGTCGTCTCTTAAAAAGCGCAATGATTTTGCATTGCTCTTTTGACTGTATCAAATGGAATTTTGAAAAAATCGAGCTTAACTTCACGATCTATTTCATAGTTCAAAGGTCAAAATAGGAGCAATATTACAGTTGCATCTTTTTTCCAGCAGAACATGTTGATTTCTTATAACCTCTTGGTTAAAAAAACCTGTCTATGAAAGATTACTTTAAGAAACAATCAACTATATAAACTAAACTGCACAAGCACCAATTTTTTTACTTATTGATTATTAAGCCTTCTTGGAAATTTTTTTGGGTAGAAGTAACTTCTGAGTACAGCGAGTGATATATCAATTGGTACTGCTTTGTGTTTATGTTGAAGTTATGTCTGGATTTTTTCTTTGAATTTTTGCGAGATGTGACGAGTCTGATTTCTTTAGGTAGTGAATTTTTATTGTTATTGCAGCGCAGCATCTTGCTGATGATTTTTTGCCTTTTTTGTTGTTTAACCGAATATGTGTTTTTACATATTAAGTTCTGTTGTTTCTATGCAATTTAAGTGTTGCGCAGACAAAAACATTTCCTGATTTTTCAGTTTTTTCAAGCATTCGAAAGATTTGAGAAGACTAATTTTCGTTATCTATAGCTCTGCAGGAATTATTTTGCTTTTCATTAGTAGATCACGTGCTCTATCAAATTTTCTACGTTAAAGAACAGACTTTGATTCCCCAGTTTTTTTGCTTATTTGTTGTTCAATTGTGAAATTTGTAGATTTTGTAAGAAAACTGCGCTATATGTTATATGGGATAATACAAAAAAACTTGAGCAAACTAATCCGAACATTTAGGGGTACTACGTTCCTGATAAGGCATATTAAACGTATTCCTTGAGCTGTTTTGCTTACAATTTTGTTAATTTGAGCTGAAAAGCTTAAAATTTGTTCCTAGATATCTGCATGATTTTGAAACTTTGTTCACGATTCTTTTTCATTTCAGCATCGACGTCATTTAGCATTATTTTCGTGTATTTTTGCAATAACTGGTATCATCTGCAAAATGAATAGCTCGATTTTGATCATTCAAAACTGAATGAAAATCATTAACATAGAGAGAGAGAGAGAGAGAGAGAGAGAGAACTATTAGTCCGAGAACTGTCCCTTCTGGCATTCCGTGATTCAAGACTTCATATTCGGATATTGTATTTGTCAATTTCACTGCATGTAGGCGATTTTTCATAACGTTTTTGGAAACTGTTACAACTACTTTTAAAAAAAACTATTCGTTCTATTTTTTTTAAATTAGCTTGAGATATTGAATTAAGCGCTCTAGCAAGATCCAAAAAACAACTGGAGACATGTTTCCATTGCGACCACTTAACTTAATTGTTTTCATTAACGAGATCATCCTGTCGAGGGAAAGTTTTTCCTTCTGAATAGCGAATTGCGTTTTTTTAAAGGCTAATATTTGTCTATATTCAGTTATTTTTGTTAATTTAATTTTTTCATAAAGCTTAGCAAAAGCTGTCATCAAAGAAATTAGCCGATGTTTTTTGCTACTCCAATGTTTTTTTTTGAAATAGGTGTAGTATACGCTTTTTTCTAGTTTTTCGGAAAAATATTGGAACTCTTAATGCTCCATGATGGTATGTTCATAGGAAGAATGGTTTTATTAATTTTTGAACTATCAACTAACAGAAATAGTTTTTTGGTGGTAACTGGCCTCAAATCATTTTTTTTAACCGGGGAAAACATTTAACCTTGACCACAGAGCAAAATCTGCTTTGTTTTTACCAAGTTCTGCGAATGCTCGATTTAATGCATTTGCTTATCGTATTGATTAGTTAGTTGATCGCCTGAAGTAGAAAACAAAGAACTTATTTTTGCGTGGGTATTACATTTTCCTGAATTTGGGCTAAAAAGTTTCATTGATTTTTTGTTTTTATCATTTTTTTAAAAACTGTTTTGTGATAAACCTTCTCAGCATTTTTCAAAATTCTATTAACAAAGTCTCCTTGTGTGTTTTAAACTATTTTATTCGCGTCTGTTTGATCAAATTTCGAATTGTTAACAAACCGATGTTTTTTTTGATCATTGCTTTATGAAGTTTGTTAACCACGTTTCTTTTTCGATATTCTTCAATTCTTTTTTTTTAGCTTATTATAGGTGACTGATTGTTCAAATCGTTTTTGAATATATCAAAAAAAAACGGAAAACATGCTGTTACTTGATAATTCAATCAGTTCGTGCAAAGCCATTGTTCAAATTTGACCTCGAAAAATTTTTCCGATTTGTGAAAAACAAAAAAGTTTGTTCTTGGTTATTAATGTTATCACGTCTTTTCTATTGTGTGTAGAGGGCGTCTGATTGTTCCGAGTGTCGAAACTTCCGATCTAAAACTGGGGAGTGTGTGGCAGAATGTGGGGAGGATGAGTATGGAGACAGAGAAACGAAGCGGTGCAGAAAGTGCAGTGCACTCTGTTCGAAGGACCCACTAACCATGTAAGTCACCTGTAATGTTTTTCTGTAATTTATTCACAAGATCACAAGCACTCTATTTTCATCATTATTTAGAGCAGATCTATGGCTTTTTGTAGGGGGGTCGGGTCTGATTAGAAAAGGCTAAAATTATTTCACTATTCTCTTATAATCGGAAAGGTGAAAAAGAATGAACGTTTTTTTTTTCGTTATTTCTTAATTTAAAAAAATTTTTTTTGTTGTGTTCTAGCGGCTGTTCAGGACCGGGTGGATTCGTGGATGATCCAAGTAGGGGTATGATTGGAGGTTGCTTTCACTGCCCCAGAGTGCTCAAGTTCAACAATGGATCCCACAAGTGTGCCGAACCCCACACATGTCTTCCGGGCTACTTCTCCGACAGGGTCTCGGCTGGAACCAAAAACAATATTTTCTCCGGCAGCAGCGTAAGCACTGGAGTCCTTTGTAATCTATTATTGCAATAACAATCAATTAAAGCGCTTGTCCTCATGAAGTAATTGGTTAAAAGTTGTGAAGTGCTAACGAACGAAGTTGTTAATTCACTTATTTAGCTCATGTGCTTCTGCTTTTTGTCGGGAAAAACGTCAACGTTTGTTCACGCTCAGACTTAAATTTTTTTGCGGTTGAATGTTTTTTTTTAAGTTCACATCACTTTTTACAAGCTGATAACAAGAGAACAAATCGCGGAAAAACTGATCTTGACCTTGAATTTTGATAGAGGGTTTAGCTTTTCCGATTTCCTAAAGGAATAAAAATTACTCTCTTGATCCTGTAATCTCAAAATTGTTAAACTTAGTCGACAAAGTGTTGGCTTTGTTTTAAATTTGCTTACAATTTGTTCACTAAAAGGAAGGAAAATTGCACTGTACATTAAAGAAAGTGGAAAAGGCGTGAAAAATTGCACGAACTTAAATTTTCAAAGTATTTTTTTTCTATTTTTCAGAGGAATGTTGAAATTACCTAATGATTGAGGTTTCTCAAACTGGATTAATTAAATCAAAAAAATGTCAGTAGTAAAAGATTCTTGAAACTGTCTGTTGGTTGTTTCAAAATTTTGAGTTGGTTGTATAATTTTATGATTTGTGAACTTTAAATAACTGAGCTCCTTATTTAAGTGCTTTTTGGAAAGTCTGATTTATCGAGGAAACAAATCTGCCTCCCAGACTAATTTTTTTCGAGATATTGTAAGTTATAGATTTTCTTTTATAGATAAGTTTTTTTGAAATATTAAATTGTTTAGATTTGTTTCAAAATTTATTCATAATTTAGTTTGCGTATAAGGGCAGACAATCGGTGAACCAGATGATCTCATAGTCTTTCGTCATAAGTATTGGCAAATGATGTTTACACGAGTGTAGCGCCGTGTAATAGTACGTACGGTGAATTTTTTCCAGCCTTAGTCGCAAATAAATAGTATATTTACATGTGCTTTGATATTTGATTAGATATAACTTAACACAACTGCTGTTTTTATAATTCATCAGTTGAACCGAAAAAAAAGTATTTGTTTCATACAGCAGTATAATAACAAAAATCCCGTTTCAGAAATTTTCCAACTCGGTCAACTTGGCGAAATTTTTGAGTGCATAGTTTATACGCAATTTTGTTTAATACGTTCTAATTTATCACAAGCAAAGTTAGCGTGGTTGCTTTTAGTTAATTTCGAAATTATTATAAGCAAAAAAGTTTTTTATGGGCTTTCTAAAGTTTCTGAGTGTTTGCCGATTTCTCGCTCGTGTTTGCGAAGATTGGCACAGATTTCGTCCTACTGCAGATTTTGTCCTAATTATTTATTTAACAGATTTCGTCGTACACAGATTTTGTCCCACATACAACATCCTATCATCCCATATCCAAATTTGTGGGACGAAATCTGTACACTTTGAAGTGGGACAAAATCTGTTGAAATTAAAATGGGACGAGATCTGTCATGGGACGAAATCTGTCATAGCCGTTTGCGAAGTTGCAGCTTCGCTGTGTGTAATGGGTTTAAATAGAAGAATCATTGGATAATTCTTTTATTTTTCTTTGTTTATGCCCATTTTGCATGTAGATCTGTGAAGAGTGTCATTCTGAATGTGAGGGGTGCCGGGGACCAGGCGAGAGGAACTGTCTGAAATGCAGACACTTCAAGGACAGAGACAGCTGCGTGTCCAAGTCAGTCATTTCACCATCTGCGAAACAAACATCGCATCCATTTTGATCTTGTTTTTTAATGTATAGGAGCCCACCTTTCGTCTCTTACTCTTGTTTATCTTTCTGAGGCGGTTTTCTATGAGCTGAAATGCTTTTTCAACAGACTTTCCAAGAATAAATTACGTTAATTTCTCTAATATAGGATTACGTAATTTGTCTGCATGAATGAATTTAAGTGGAGCTATCTAGGATTTTTTTTCGTAGAGAAGAGAAAAAGAGAGTCCCCCCCCCTCCCGAACCCTCCTCGCGTCCTGCTGGATCCGTAATATCCTTTTTCGTGGGGAAAATTACCTTTGGGACATCAAATTTGCCGGCAAATCAAAAAAAATGTATGAAGCAGATGAATTATGTGTGTGTGTGTGTTCAGGTGTCCAGAACACAGTCTGGTGAATGAGAACAACGAATGTGCCAGTTGTGATCCCAACTGTCAACGAATATCCTCCTCATCTTCGGGGGCAGCGGGGGGTCCCATGTGTACCGGCTCCTCCCCCTTCGACTGTGTCAAGTGCCACTGGAGACACATCAAACACAATGACTCGGTTAGTAAACATAATAGTTTCACTTTTCAACTTGAACACCAAATACCAATTCCAAATTACTATATTATTTTTAAAACTAGTACAGTTTAAAAATTGAATGATAATCATTTTAAAAAATCAGTGAAGGCTCTTCAGGGCCAATATTTATTAATTTTGAGGGGGAGCACGCTCCAAAACAACAAGTTTTTTCGGTCAAAACCTTCAAAAAGTAGTGACCTAAACGGCTTTCTTGGTCTGATTTTATTTTAAATATAAATTGTCAGCGGAGCAGAATTTGTTTCAAAATAGGGTCTTTTTGGGGTTTTGAGAGAGCCCGGAAAATGAATTTGATCGATCGAAAAACAATCCGCCTCTA